GGGGCTGTATGCAGGGCTGGCGTGGAGACAGCAGGTGATTTCCAGACTGCGCTTCCCAGTAGAGAGGATGAAAGTTGCCACCATTCTCCCACGGTCTGTCTGCAGGTGGCTGGCCACTCTTATTAACAGTGGGCTAGGGCTAAAGCAGACCCAGGATGTCTGTCGGTGGTACTCACCAACCACAGTAGACCCACGATCCCCACCTCTCTGCTAGAGGGCAGATGTCAGAGAGGTGCAGCTCTCAGCAGGTCCAAGGCCCTACAGCACAGCTCTCCTCAGTGTAAAGAACAGAAGAACAGGTGGGCGTGGAAGTTATGAAACTAGGAGCTTTGTTAATTACACCAAAGGACAGTGGTTTTTATTTGCCCTCATGAGAGGAAATGCACCCCAAATCAGCCCGCTGGGTTTGGCTGAATGGAATGGAGGCAGGAGAGGGAGGGAGAGAAGAGGTAAACAATGTATTATTTTACTGGAACAAGGATTTCTCATAAAGTAACCTTGGCGGTAATTATACCCCTAGAGTTAGACGGTAATTGACTTAACCTATACATTAAGTGAAATGGCAAACTTTTTAGTTGCGTCTCTTAATTAAAGCAATTAACAGCTTTGAAATTCTCTACACACTTTGTCCAAAAACTTTCATGCATTTCCTTCCTCTGCACATTGCTTCTGGTCAGGGTTTTCCCCCTGCCTACCATGTATTGGTCTTGTTGCTGTCAGGTTTGTTTTTGTTTTTGCAGAAACAGTCCACATTGGTGAGGTGGTCAAGCTAAGCCCACTTGGGTAAATTCCAATTTGTCAAACTATCTTTCCTTTTCTTTTTCCTTAAGAAAATGGATTGTGTATCCAGAATCTGACCATCTCTCATAACATTTATGGCTACGCCCCTGGCCCAAGCCACCACCATCTCTCCTCTGGTTACTGTCAACGTCCAGTAGTTGGTCTCCCATCTTCCACCCTGACCCCTACGGTCTGTTCTCAACACAGCAGCCAAAGCGCTCCTCTGAGCATGACTGGGAATGAGGCTCACTTCATTGTACCCATCGGCAGTTGTCCCATCAGTTGTTCAGCGTCCTGGGATGGGATTTAAGTGTGTCCAAAAATACTTCCGGAGGTGTGTGTTTGTGCATAAGCTGTTCAGGACTTCTGCTGTTTCCTCAGCTGTTTGAAGGTAGAGGCACACAGAGGGACGTCAGCAAGGGCTGGTAGAAACTGCCCTCACCAGGAAAGGAAAATGTCACATCACCGGTGCAGACGCAAAATAAAACACCCAATTTTATTTTTTATAATTGAGAGACTGTCTTGTTTGTTGGTGAGTCACCAAAAGTCTGCTCCAGTTGGATGGCCAACTCCTCCGCAGTGGCCCCCGACCCTCTCTGCTTCTGTGGTGGGGTTCTGATTTCAGGGCGCGGGTAAACGTGCTCAAAGTTTTAACTTTATTGTGGTGTGTTGCCTCGGTGGACTAAGAAAACGGATATTCCTGCTTAATTCTCAGAATGATTTCCACACTAATGCTGAAGTAAAATGATCTAGTTTTCTTTGCAATTCTGTTTAAAAGGGATAAAAGTAGATCCACTGACCATGTAAAAGGCTCGTCTAAAATATACCCCAAACCACGGGAAACTGAATACCCCTCTACCTCAACATATTATGAAGACAACTAAAAATCGTGTAGAGAGAAACCTTTTTGCCTCTTGGGCCAGGGTGGCTTTATTTGACATTAGACACCCCTTTCAAATGGTGATAAGAGCATGAACAAAAGCAAAGTCTAGTGCGTGGAATGCCTTACTTTTGTCATGCCTGATAGTGAGACTGATCTGTCACTAGTCTTGAAAGTTTCTCATTGGAATGGAAGCCTCAAGGCTTGTCCTGCTTTTTTTGTTGTTGAGAAGGATTTTCTGTGGGGAGCTCAGGGGTGACCGGCGGCCCATGGTCCCGTTCACCTCGATTCTTCAGCAGG